ATAGAATTCAGATGCTTTGTCAAAATTTTTGTCTGGAGTCTTCAGACATTGAGAACATTGCGAAGGTAGATTGTAGATGGATGTGTTTGATCCAAATTTGAAAATGAAAATTTGATTGCAGATCGAGCCGCGGAGCGTTAGCCCAGTGGGTTATATTTAGCCGTGGCCCACCGGTGGACGAAAATGATGACGCTTCGGAAATGATTACCTTTAAATGCATAAATCGACTAGTAGTACAAGTTATGTGACCTAATTTTGAGCATGCGCACTCGAAAATGTTGGAAACACAAGCCTCGACCCCAAGGCGTTGCAGTTTCCGTAGCCGCGCAGCGTGGGCCAAACAGCTAATTTTAAGTTGTAGCCAACGGGTGGACGAAAATGACGACGCTTCGGGAAAAGCATCCTTGAACGCTTCATGACGTCAGATCTTACATTTAGAAGGCAGTCTGAGCGTATATTTCACGTGTGCGGTTTTTAGACCGATGAAAAGAACGGATTGGCCCTTAAAGCACCGCGACACGGAGTTGGAATCTGGTGGGTGAACTGGAAGAGTAAAGGTAAAATCTCTATTTTTCGTGTTTTTACAGCTATTTATCTATCCAGAAAACAAATAAACATGGCGCTCGCCGTCTGGTGGCACTTGCCGGGGCCAAAACTTTTCGGTTTTACGCAAGTTGCAACCCAGACCGTCCTTGCCAGCATAGTATCAGCCGTATATCAGTCATAGTACCGTATCAGCATAGTAACCCTCATTGACGCAACGACATCCATGATCATGGCAGTTAGTCCAATAGTTGCCACATAGACTCCAGTTCCGTGTTTTTCTGTGTTCTTCAGAGATATTGAGTTCGCCCTCACTGAAGATTGTAGATGAAATGGGGTTCCTGATTTGTATTAACATGGCCAACCCATGTTCGTCTTAAAATGCTCACGATCCTGTCAGAGCTGACTACTGATAAGAAAGCTACGCAATATGGTCTTGAACCTGCGCGCTCGCAAGTCAGCGATAACAGCCTCGACGCCCGGCGCTGCAGTCTCCAGGCCATACGGCGCCGGCCTTGCGGCTGTAACACTATGCGATGGCCAGTGAGCACACAACAAAGATGACGCATCTTAAGGGAGATGACTGGTGAACTATGCAAATCGGCGTACATGTTTAATGTAGTGCAAAAATAAGCCAAATCAACCTCAATCTGAAAAGTGGGGAGGGGGACAGTTAACATTGCTCGCCCCCCACCTTGAAAAGTGGGGGGGGGGGGGGGGCGTGACCCCCTGTTCCTACGCCCAGGAATCTTCAATATGGTTATTTTTTAGTTCAAAACCCCGTACAAATGTGGAGTAACAATAATACGTGACAGTGCGTGGAGGTGACATCCATACGGGTGCCCAATGAACGTCTACGTTGGTTTGTGTTTCGTGGGAACCGAAATCTCTGTAGCTGCAAAACTGAGAGCCTGTTGCGGAGACCGGAAAGTTTTGTGATGCGGTGGTTGGATTTTGTCGTATGTGTGTCGTGATGTTAAACAAAGGATAAATGTTCGCTACATGTTGGATAACCGTAGTGACCGTGGGCAACGCTTTTGTATCGTGTCGTGTGGTCTGGCGCGTGGACGTAATCACGTCTCTACGATAGAGGGGGGGGGGGGGGAGACGGGGATCGGAATTGGAGAGGTCAATTTGAATCTGAAGGGGTAAAGCCTAACCGGTAGGAGTTTCAACGGATAACTGTAAAATGCGTGCATTCCCCAGACAAGCAAAATCCTACTTCGTTCCACTTCTATGGGTACATTTATCGGTCTGTGCCTTTTCTTGCATTATGTGGGGAGATGGGCGAAATATGGAGCGAGCACAATTTGTGTTAGCGTACCTTTTTATAATTATATGCACCCAGGTCAATTAAAAACTCATCATATGATGCCACCTGCAACTTAACAATGTGCACGCAAACCCAGTGATCATTCCACTGACTGATATCAGAATTGCCTACATGCCTAACACGAGTGCTGCGCTGCGGCTTGCAGCCCGCCTTACCACTACACGCCGGGGGTTCCCGTGGCAGCGCTTTATAGTCATGCACATCCAGTCACTCTCTTCACTCCTAAAGCCGTACACGTTCAACGTCTAAATCCACATAACATCGACACTGCATTGATTACCGAAGCGTGATTTCGATCACCGCCGCCAAACAAAGTGATGATAATGTCCAACGACACCCTCCGCCGAGGAACAGCGAGGAAGCGTATGAGAGCATGTTTTAGTTTCCATTCCATTGGGTAGAAATCCACCCCATTACGTTGAGAGGAAAGTGGATCAGATCCAGAATAAAAAATTTTTGCGTGTTTAAGGCTAGGGACTCTCCGCTTAGCCTCCCTTAGCTTATTTTGCAAAACTGCACCCTTGTGACAGAGACGTAGCGACCGTGACACGTGACGGGCCCCCCACAAGATTATTTCAGCGTCAGGTCTAAGACTCAGAGTGCATTTCCCAAGCAAGGACAGGACCAGGGCCTGGGATTTACATCAGTCGAGGCCCGTGAAACAATGAAGGGGCCCCTGTGTCGATCTGGGGACCAGTGCACAATAAGGGCCATGTCCGGCAAGGAGCCCAGAATCAGCCCGGGGCAGTGCTCGAGGGGCCCGTAGAGGGGCATATGAGATCGAGTGCCCGATTAGCAAGTACGAAAAGCTCGTAGGTCACATCGTGGACGCCGGTCCGCAGAGCCGGGCCCTCAGATATCAGTCAGTTGTGGACGCCGGTCTGCAGAGCCGGGCCCTCAGATGTCAGTCGGTCGTGGATGCCGGTCTGCAGAGCCGGGCCCTCAGATGCCAGTCGGTCGTGGACGCCGGTCTGCAGAGCCGGGCCCTCAGATGTCAATCGGTCATGGACGCCGGTCTGCAGAGCCGGGCCCTCAGGTGTCAGTCGGTCGTGGCCGCCGGTCTGCAGAGCCGGGCGGGCCCTCAGATGTCAGTCGATCGTGGACGCCGGTCTGCAGAGCCGGGCCCTCAGATGTCAATCGGTCGTGGACGCCGGTCTGCAGAGCCGGGCCCTCAGATGTCAGTCGGTCGTGGACGCCGGTCCGCAGAGCCGGGCCCTCAGATGTCAGTCAGTCGTGGACGCCGGCCTGCAGAGCCGGGCCCTCAGATGTCAGTCAGTCGTGGACGCCGGTCCGCAGAGCCGGGCCCTCAGATGTCAGTCGGTCGTGGACGCCGGTCTGCAGAGCCGGGCGGGCCCTCAGATGTCAGTCGGTCGTGGACGCCGGTCCGCAGAGCCGGGCCCTCAGATGTCAGTCGGAGAGTCTGTTGCACCGATTGGAGACACCCGAGGACAAAGCGGGAGTGTCGGAGACCGACAACAAACAGTCGACTCCGCGCCGGTGTAAGCCCTTGGAGCCCATTTCCCAGGCAAGGACAAGGCCGGGATCCGTGCTTTGCATTGATCGGGACCCCTGAAATAATGAGATCTGTGTCGCTTAGGGGCCACATTGCCCCACAGAGGGTCCTGTGTCCGCAAGAGACCCGAAGTCGGTCAGGGTAGCATTTGCTGAACAGGGACGGAGACCAGACCCAGAATGCCAGAGGGCCTCTTGCGTTGCATTGCGCTCGTCGACCTCTGACAGTGAAAGTATGATCATTTACGTTGAGAGTCCGCAATGAGATAATGGAAGGTGATGTGCCAGTCAGGGGTCCCATTGCAGAACGGGGAGCTCTCCATCCCATTTCAGCCTGGGGCCCCTTGTGCTGAACTGTGGTTTCTGTTCCAGTTACTGGACACCTGGGTCGATACGGGTTATGTCTTGTCAGTGAGGACCCCTGCGTCGACCCGGGTCTAAATTCCGGGTCAAGAGCTCCAGTGTCAGGCAGGCGACCAATGTACATTCAGGGATTCCCCTGTACCGCCAAAAAGGCAGCCGGTAGGCGCCCCTGGTTGGGACGGAACGACCGTCCATCCCCTGACCGGGAAGCATAACGCGACCCTCGCGATCAATCCACTGGAACTCTTGCCCGGGAAAAGGCAAGGGTTTCCGGAGTATTAAAAAGGGCGGATCAAAATGAGGTCAGAAATGAGAAAAGGCCAACACAAACGAGGACGTTCATCCACGGGTGTTACTGCCTATGCTCTCGGAGTGCCTGCCCCCCCCCCCCCCCCCCCCCCCCACAATGCTGACTTCAACACGCGCCCGGGGGGCTGGTTGGATACCCTTCGCTCAGTTGGATATTGGATACCCGGACGCGGGGGTCAATTTCCCCCCCCCCCCGACATTTCAGAAACTAAGAGCTAGACACCAAATTCACACGGTACGGTGGCCTGTGCGTGAACTCACTTGGGTCCAAGTTTGAGGTTCGTAGGTCATGAAAAAGCTTGAGGTTCCTAGATCATAACCAAATTGTTCAGTTAAAAAAGCTTGAGGTTCCTAGGTCATGACCAAATTTGACCACGACCATGATCATGTTCGAATAAGGTCAAACAAGGTCAAACTCCAGGTTGGTATCGAAGTGCCCTCAGAACCTGCACACCTGTTCTAAGCAGTTCACATGCTCATTTAAGGTCAGGACCTTGTTTGACGTTTCAAAGGTCATGGTGGCCAACTTCACGCAAGACTGCTGTGAGTTTTGCATTTGAATAAGCGACGAAGATTACGCTACGCGGTATGTCCCCGGTCCAGCCTCGAATCCGCTCACCAGGCCCTGTGGCTGGCAGCACTGGGACGGCCCTGCTCCGGCCAGCGGTCTGCCGGTCCGAGCCGGGCCGGCTCCGAAGCCGCTCACCAGGCCCTGTGACTGGCAGCACTGGGACGGCCCCGCGCCGGCCAGTGATCTGCCGTTTCGGGTCGGGCCGGCGGGCCACCCCACTCCACTCCAGCCACAGTCCAGTCTGACCCCGTCAGCGGGGACTCCTGAGCTGTTCTGCACACCTGGCCAGCTCATGTCACGGGCCACACTAACGCCATCGTCTGTGTGTACACCGGTGCGCTGCTCCACCGGACGGTAACAGCCGGTGGCGCTGGCTCGATCACGGGCTATGTATTGATGCTTCACGATGGCCGCCAGTCGCGCGGCACCTTCGCCGGCTGTGAGCCGCCGCTCAGCAGCTCCAGACAATGCACGTATACAGGGGGCCGGTCCGTCGGGCCCGGCCGCCCAAGGGACGCGCGCGGGAAAAATGGCGCAGCCTTCCCTGGGGCCACCGGCCAGAGGGAACCCGGCCCATGTATCAAAACAGGCCGCCGGTCACAATAGCTATCGACCGGCGCAAACATAACACTGGATGACTGGACGCAGACGCCCGCGCTGCGGTGAGAGATGCCCCGGGCGGGCCGGGTCAGGTCAGGTCAGGTCGGGTCAGGGCGCGGCGCTAGACGACCGGCTCCGTCTGAGGCGCCGCCGACTTGCCCTCGCGTCGCTCCTCCTCACTGAGCCACTCCATCTGAGGACGAGGCGGGTGTGAGGTGTGGGGCGTTGCCGCCGGGCGGCGGGGTGGCGGGCCTCCACGAGAGTGGACACGACGGCGAGGGACGCCCACACACGTGCCAAGAGAAAATGGTGGTAAACACACCGACAAAGGCCAAGTCCGGGGCTACCACAATACAGGAGATAATTGGAGGCGGACGACGTGGATCAACCGCGCACAGCCGAAAATAAAGCGTACCAAAGGCAGGCAAAGAAGCATTTGCTGGAACTGCAAGCTTTCCACTCAATGGAAAACACCACGAAGGAAAAAGTCTCGTCAATCGCCTACCCATCACTGCCATTAGTCCCGAAAGCCCAGCAGTGCACTGAATTACTGTCACTGACAAGACGCGGCCGCTGACTCCCATGAACCGCCGGCGCGACGAGTCACCTTTTTCCTGTTTTGCCGGATGGCGTCCTGCACGCGCTCGAGGGCCATCTTCTCAGTGAGCACGCCGTCCTCGCTGGCGTACGCGGCCGCCTGCCAGGCCACCCCCAGCTTGGCGATCTCGCGGCCCGACAAGCCGGCGGTCATCAGCGCTATCCGGGACACCACGTCGCCGTAGTCGAACTTGTCCACCTTTAGCCGCCTGGCGACGAAGCGCGGCCGGTCAGCGCGGCGGTGGCGGCGGTGGCCGGCACCGTGGTCCACCCACGGGGGCACCGCACACAGCGCCACTGGATGCGGCCAGCTTGGCAGCCGGGGTGCGTACCAGCCAATGCCTCGTGCTGGGGCGTACCGAATGCGACCGGGCCACACAACCGAACGTACCAAAGGCGTCAATGTGGGGACAGAGCGGATGTATCGAAGATATGGCTGGTATGGAACTACTGGATTAGAGCTGGTCCCGTTCTTCATCTTCCTCATTTCAACCACCGCAGATGAACACTGTGATTTGGTATCGCTGCAATTAACCATGCAGCGAAGTACCAGGTAAATCTGAAGGCATGTAACACACGCACGCTGTACCCTATCAAGTAAAACCAGAAGGGTCTCGCTGGAGCGTTCCAGTATGGTAAGCAGGCATAACACAAGTGGCCGCTGAGTTCCGGCAATTGGGGCGCAGCTGGACGCTACACAGACCGCGTGACGCCAGAGCCCAGCCTGCGGCCGCCACCACCCGTCACGTACTTGACGCCCTGCGTGGCTGGCTCCAGGACGAACTTGCGGAAGTACAAGTGCGCCAGCCGCTCGCGCTCCTGTAGGCCAGGCAGCTGGAACTCCACCATCTCGTCCAGCCTGTCGTAACATGGCCGAAGTTAGGGAATCGTTACCACGTCGGTTAGGGGGGAAACGGCCCCCGCCGGCCGGGCCCGGCCGGACGCGTACTGGCGGCTAGTCGGACGGCCAGAGCATGGGACATTTCTGTGCACAGGAAAAGCTGAATAACAATTAGGTAACAGGTGCCTGATCTCCAAATAAACGGACAGTGTTTCCATGCTCATGATGGTAGTTGCCTGACAAGAACCAGCGGAACCATGTCGCCACGTTAAGTTTGAAAAAGCCAACATGGGTTCCTGGATATATCGGAAAACACAAGCAGCCCTTGTGGACAACAGACCGAAGACAGCCGATTGCATACTAGCACGATCAATTAAGATTACATGAAGCCGGATGCTGAGTGAAACGATTCAAGAAGGTGGGGTTCATCACTGGAACTGTTGTTCATGGACTAGTCACAAGGTTCACCAGAACGTAACCTCTCGCTGACAGCGCGTTCGGACGGGGGTCACCCACCACCTCAACTGCCATTGAAGGCCCGTTGCCCAGTCAGGGTGTGAAGGTCAGCAACTTACCTGCTCATGGCGGTCGAGCCGAACACGTCAACACTCACCCCAATGGCGAAGCCGTTTAACAGAGACCAGCGCTTCTGTTGTCCACGGCTCAGTGGAGCCACTATGCCGTATGCACGGACTCTCTCCGTCCTGCCACTGACTGTCCGCGGCTCAGTGGAGCCACTATGCCGTATGCACGGACTCTCTCTGTCCTGCCACTGACTGTCCGCGGCTCAGTGGAGCCACTATGCCGTATGCACGGACTCTCTCCGTCCTGCCGCTGACTGTCCGCGGCTCAGTGGAGCCACTATGCCGTATGCACGGACTCTCTCCGTCCTGCCACTGACTGTCCGCGGCTCAGTGGAGCCACTATGCCATATGCACGGACTCTCTCTGTCCTGCCGCTGACTGTCCGCGGCTCAGTGGTGCCACTCGGTTGCGTATCTATCCTCCCACTGACTGGCTGCGGCGGGCGCGCCTCTCACCTGTCGTTGATGGCCCAGTCGAACTGTTCGGGCGTGTTGGAGGCCAGCACCAGCATCAGGCGGTCCGACTGGTCGCCGGTGCGGTAGAGGAAGGCGTTGAGGGAGGCGCGCAGCTCCTCGCTGATGTGTTCTGAGCTCCGTTTCCGTAGAAATGCGTCCGCCTCGTCCACGAACATGATCAGACCTGACAACGACAAACGTGATCACACCGACGGACACCCATCAAACATGACAACAAAGGACAGCAAGTCTGAATGGTACACGGCGTTCATGCACGCGCAGGGTAACACCGCGGCTACACGGCCGCCGGCGCTCGCACGACAATACGATCCACTTCAAGGACCATGGCGTCAAAGGCCGGGTTGTGACGGTCCCGGGGTTACAACCTTCGGCACTGTCATACCGCCGTGCCGCCGCCGTCTGAGGAGCCCACCAGTCCGCCGTAAGATGACCCCACCAGTCCGCCGTCTGAGGACCCCACCAGTCCGCTGTCTGAGGACCCCACCAGTCCGCCGTCTGAGGACCCCACCAGTCCGCTGTCTGAGGACCCCACCAGTCCGCCGTCTGAGGACCCCACCAGTCCGCTGTCTGAGGACCCCACCAGTCAGCCGTCTGAGGACCCCACCAGTCCGCCGTCTGAGAACCCCACCAGTCCGCCGTCTGAGAACCCCACTAAACCGCCGTAAGATGACCCCACCAGTCCGCCGTCTGAGACCCCACCAGTCCGCTGTCTGAGGACCCCACCAGTCCGCCGTCTGAGGACCCCACCAGTCCGCTGTCTGAGAACCCCACCAGTCCGCCGTCTGAGGATCGCCACAATCCGCCCTGCCTGCCATCACCGCACCTTTACGTGACGTGTTGGCCCAGTCGAACACCTTGTGGATGGCGGTGACGCCGTCCCGGCCCATGGGCGCCACGTCGCCGCCCGTCAGGATGGCGTAGTCCATGCCGGAAGCCTTGGCCAGCTTCTGCAGGCGCGGGGCACAGGGAGGTCAGCCTCGGCGGTTGCAAGTGATGGGATGGTGACATACACTAGGAATGGGACGGAATGTCGCAGTGAGGATGATGACACACGCTCGGCCACGTGACGGCCACACCGCCACATAAGCCATGGCGTAACAGGTTTCAGGTAAGGCCTGTTCGAAGCCACTTGCAGAAAACCACACAATCCATGTGGCTTAAGCGATGTCAATGCTCTTTCATACCATTCATGCTTGAAACAGCAGGGAAATTTGTTCAAGCCGCGTATTCAGCTCTGTGATGATGGGACAATACGAAGGCTTCAGTGCCGAATACGTGCGATCCTACAGACAGTCTTGGCAGTCGTCCGATCACACGCAGTAGGGGACCACGACTAACCTTCGCGAACAGCGTTTTTCCTGTGCCTGGGGGCCCGTGGAACAGCAGGTTTCTGTACATGCCACGATTCCTCTTTGTGTTCTTCGTAGTAATGGCAATATCTCTGAAAGTACAAGATGTCGGTGTGAGCGATAAGGTGAGTTGCTTGCTTACCCCAAACTTAATATATGAGCGTCCATGACTGGGAGTTTTTGAGAGCTCCCAAAGATGTAAGGCCCCCGCTCGGCCAAACGCCTGGCCGCCTGCCATGCCGAGCCGGGCGTCCAGGCTAGACTCCCGAACCAGCGACCTGAGGTGGGCTCTCTGACTGGGCTCCAGCCCGCCAGTGGTGATGAAGCCAAGGCCCACAGACTTGGCTCGGGCGCCACTGACCTGGGGCAGGTCCTCAAACTGGGCTCCAGCTCCAACTCAGCACCACTGATCTCAACTGGGGTTCTGAGACTGGTCTCCAGCACCGCTGACCTAAACTGGGGTTCTGAGACTGGTCTCCACCACCGCTGACCTAAACTGGGGTTCTGAGACCGGTCTCCAGCACCACTGACCTAAACTGGGGTTCTGAGACTGGTCTCCAGCACCGCTGACCTAAACTGGGGTTCTGAGACTAGTCTCCAGCACCACTGACCTAAACTGGGGTTCTGGGACTGGTCTCCAGCACCGCTGATCTAAACTGGGGTTCTGAGACTGGTCTCCAGCACCGCTGACCTAAACTGGGGTTCTGAGACTGGTCTCCAGCACCACTGACCTAAACTGGGGTTCTGAGACTGGTCTCCAGCACCGCTGACCTAAACTGGGGTTCTGAGACTGGTCTCCAGCACCGCTGACCTACACTGGGGTTCTGAGACTGGTCTCCAGCACCGCCGACCTAAACTAGGGTTCTGAGACTGGTCTCCAGCACCGCTGACCTAAACTGGGGTTCTGAGACTGGTCTCCAGCACCGCTGACCTAAACTGGGGTTCTGAGACTGGTCTCCAGCACCGCTGACCTAAACTGGCGTCTTCAGACTGGACTACAGCACCACTGACCTCAGCCGAGCCTCCAGATTGGGCTCCAGCACCACGCCGGCCAGAGCGTCCGTCTCACTCTTCTGCAGACGGGTCCGCAGAGTCGACCACGGGTGCCGCAGCGTGTCGAACAGCGAGAAGCGCGAGGTCTCGCGCACCAGCGACGGCTTGCCTGACGGCGGACGACTGGGGTCAGACGGCGGGTTAATCCGCTCCCCATTCGTACAGCGAATACTGACCGATGCCGACGGCACAGGCAGAGAACAGGGATCAACCAGAACTGCCCGACGGACAGCTTCATACCATGGAAAAGGCGAGAAAAAATGAGCGTCGCATTCCTCCCAATCAAGACAGCCGCGATTGCCAGCGGGACGCATTTTACGCCGCGGGACGAGCGAGGCGGCAATGTCACCATTGCCCACTCTCCTCATGCAATTGACTCGTAAAATTGCCACATGGGAACGCAGTAATTCTGACAACCAATTCTGGAAAGCATACTTTCATGAGAATGTAAAAGGAGGATGTTTACTGACACGACATTCGGGCGATATATCGCACATCAGAGAACACAGCTGCACAATCCACTGGCCATGAGGCGGCTCAGGGCTGGCAATTTCAGTTGTGCAATTCAACAGATCTGCAATGACTGACGGCTTTACAATTGCGACTAACAACTGATCACTCTGGAAAAATCCTTCGGGAGGGGGGTGGGGGGCAAATCGACCCGCACCCGAGAGCGTATTAAAGAATTGCACTTCCTGTTGCTGACAACTACATTAACCCTCGACCCGCCGTTCCAGACTTTGGCTTCTAGAGAGCGTGACGGTCCAGCCGGGTAGGGCTTACAGGGGCTTTGCTCATAATAACCTGGCAACCGTTGGATCCTCATACAGGGGTCAGAAGTCAGAATGCAGCGGTCGGAGCACGGCGGACCCTGAAACCCCAGGTGAATCCACCGCACCGAGACCTAACTGATACTTACCGGCACTAATTCTTCCAACCCCAGGGTCGGCCAACAGTGAACGTTGAAAGTGAAAGAAGCCACAAAGGGACACCACCTACATTCGGAACGACGTACGCCCCGCCAAAACATCCATCCATCCCCAACCGGCGAGCTGCTCCGGGGCCCACCGTCTGTGCGCCAGCAGAGAGGCGCTCAGCTCGGCCCCCGTCACCCGCCCACTGACCGAGCCGACTCTCGACGTAGCGGGCAGCGACCGAGACGCCGCCGCGCGCTGTGTAGACGCCGAGCGCCAGCAGCGAGACGCCGCCGGCGGCCGCTGCCACCTTGTCCCAGTCGCTGAGGAAGGCCGAGGCGCCCTCGCCGAGCACGGCACCGGCCGTCCTGCCGGGCACGGCGCGGTCAGGCGACGGTCGGGCCAGCGGGCTGGAGACTGGAAGGTCCGCACGCAGGGACAGTGTACGCCACAACACTTCAGCAGAGCAGGCCACTGTTGGGAGTCACCGTCCACCCGATGAAGGGCACATCTGTTACAGAAGCAATGCCCACGGGGTACACCAAAAAGTTCGTTAACAGATAAACAAACACAAGGTAATGACGAGAGCGGAGCGTTTTTTCTTCTTCAGTATATTGTGGAGGCTATCCGGCAAACGATCCGGATGAAATCTAGCACCTGAGCTGCTTTAAAGTATTTATAAGGACTCGGCTCTATTTTGATGCTATCCAAATTGAAAATGCACGTCCATGACCGCAAATTCTTCATTTAGGCCAACACATGAGTGAATCATCATACGTAACGGCAACTTTTGCACACGAAATCGTCCCCACCGAAGCATATTTGCACCAGGCGAACGCTACTCCAAGCGACTGTATCTAACAGGGCTTAGCCCATCAAAAGATCACAAGTCACGGCCAGGGCACGCGAGCGACCGTGACGCACTTGATGGAGTTGAGCACGGTGTCGCGCTTTTCGGCGGCGCGCACGCGGATCTGCTCCAGCGTCAAGTCCTGGTTGTCGCGCTCCATGCGCGCGCGCGCCGCCATCTCCGCCTCGATCTTCTTCATGTCAGACTTGTGCCGCAGGTCCATCTCGTACTCCAGCGTGGCTAAGACGGGGGAGGAGTCACGGCTACGTCACACGTCCCGTCCCACGCCGGTAAACGACGACCGGTACATACGGACGGGTCGACACACAGAGTCATGTAGTTATTGCGAAAAACGGAAGCATTCTGTGTCGCTGTAAGCCACGAGTTAGGGTATATGGTTGCGTAATTTAATGGTTGCATGTCTCTTCCCTTCGGTCGCAGCAAATCACACGATAAAATACTCTAGATAATATCATCATGGTCTGCTTCCTAGTGGATTACAGGCGTTGCTGTGAGTCGGACAGGGTTAGAATTCTCAACTATCTCAGGACCATACTTTCATGTATATCGTGCCGCTGGCCTCGTGCCTTAGCCTGCTCCCTTTGAGACATCTTTCCCTTGCAGCAAACTGCATGCAGCTTTGGCTTTAAGTTTTAAGCGCCAAGAATACCAGCCTCCACGCATAAATGGTCACTGCCGGGCCGGGTGGCTCAAGTCTAAAACTTGACCTCTCTTCAAGCAAGGCGAACTTTGCCTTTAGCCTGGCTCACCACAACAACCAGTTTCTATGACAAGTCCCGTTTATGACGTCATGCATGTCATAAACAGGAAGTAACCATTTGGAGATGACTGCATCTAGGACGCTCAGATCTCTTATCTTAACCAAATAATGCATTGAATAGTAGTTCAGTAATCGACACACGAGCACACTACAGTCCGCGGAGTTACTAGGAGAGGATCACGACCATCAAATTGCAATCCTTTCTCACATTTCCGAAGGGCCTCCTGCTTTTGTACGGACTCTTCCTGCTTCCGAAGATTCTCTTCATTCATCCGATGTTGCTGGATAAGCTGATCCTCCGACCTGCAAATGGATCACGAAGTTAGGGGCGTACCGCACAACCGCACAACGTTAGGAACATACCTCTTTATCAGGCCCACCAAACTATAATATAATTGTGCACTGTGGAATCTGCACATCCAACTTCCACTAAGCACAATATAACTCACAACATGCTCCATAGGGCTCGAAACAGCTCACCAAGCAGTGAGAAGGAAAGAAAGAGCATAAACAGAATACGGACTTCGCTGTTGGACAATGGATATTGTCCGCGACTTTTAGGTGGAATGCTGGAAAAAGTAAAAACAATCTAGAGCGCGTTGGGGGATGGGCGGTAGGAGTCGGGAGCACGCCCTCTCGGCTGACGGATTCTTAATGCTACCATACATAGATGAACACTTGCTTTGGAAAATCAAATGCATCGTTAGAAAAGCAAAACTGCGCGTACGCATAGCGTGAAAGAACAATAAGCTAAAAGTCTCTCATGAAATCTTCTATCTCGAAGCCTAAGTGCCCGGGTGGCAATAGATATCATTTATGCAAGTCTGGGTTTCAAAGGGTCTGCACGGAAAAAGTGGTTCACGAAAATAACTGTAACCTGTGTGAAAAACATGTGAGGGCCATAATCTATGTTAGGGAGTCTATGCGCCCTACTCCTCTGATATGTAATGAACACCTGCGAAATGCTAAAAACAAAACAGGGAATGCTCCTTTCGCTGACCATTTTGTTGGCAAACACGCTCAGGCTGAAATCGAGGGAGGTATGGGTCATATGCCCCTTCCAGAGCTCAAAGCCACCTACAGAGCATAGGACCACCCAGACAGGAAAACAGGTCAATCTTTTCTTGTAAGAAGTCGGCGACCAATCCTTAGCGTACAAGGCTCATCATGGCCGATTACGCGAACGTGATATGTGCCTTGATGTGTGATGTGTGCTAGCTTAAAATCGTTTACATGTATGAAGAATGCCTAACGCGTGATGCGCGATGCCCGTTTAGAAATGGTTTTCATTATAATTGACGCGTGATGAGTGATGCCCGTTCAGTTGAACTCACTTACATGCTTGAATGAATCGTGATGCGTGATGCCTGTTCCCTTGAATTCGTTTGGACGTACACGTATTTTTTGCGTTTTCTAATTCTTAGATATACACTGCATTGTAACAATGGCTGGTAATCGCTACTTCTTTAATGTCCTGAATGTTAGTGTCCTGTACAAACTGTGGCTCGCTGTTAAAAAAAAACTGAAATCGAGTAAGATCGGTGGCAGGCAATTTTGAATTCAGTTGCTATTATTTTTGATAAAAGCATGTTGCCGAAATATCACCGCACCTTTATCTCCATTGTCCTGGTTTTTTATTTGCCCGGGGAATACAGCTATCACTACTGTTTTATCTAGGCATGCATTATGCATGGCAGTTTAGATGGGAGAATGCATCGACAAGAAAGCCCTCGCTAAACACGCCATCACATGTGGGAAGGGTGGGTAGCGTGGGCTGGAGTGGGGAAGAGGAGTCAATTTCACCCGTACTTTTCAAAATAACTCCCAAAGATGTTTCACAAAAGCTTCCACAATTCTGTCATAACTTCGGAACGGCACGGTGTAGCCGCGTCAAACTTTTTGTAGGCGTAGGTAAAGGAATAGCCAATCTTTGGAAATAGTATAAATCCATAGTATCCAATCAATAAATAGTATCCAAATAGTATCCAATCCAATAGTATAAATCCAAACTATATATCCCTAGTTAGATCGCTGACCTATAGCAAATCAAAATCAGGCCGTGGCTGTCGGCGAAGGCAATTCCTAGAAAACCGTACAATCTAGTGCGCCAATGTACTAGAGTACTAGACAATGTCATACAACTTTCAGGTCATTTCTTACAAAACTAGACAATCGAAAGCATAGTTACTACTTATTTCACAGACCTTGGGTCAGATGTGAGGTCAGATCGACGTAAAATCCGAACCGGGGTAGCGGGCGTGGTCTACCCTCGAACAGACCCTATGGTCTGGTGACCCACCCCGAGGGCACGGCCTCGCTCTGGGCCACCGGAGCCGTCCTCCGATCGCCGGGACCAAGACGTCAGGATAAGCTCGTCGCATGCATACGCGCTACATAGGGCTTCCTGACCACAGAGGCGTGGCCAGGATTGTCCTGTAAGCGCTCCGATAAGTGAAACCCATGACATGTATAGTGTGCAGTGAGTACAGCGTGCAGTGGTGCAGCGTGCGGTGGACATTGCTGTGTTTCCATGCAGCCAAACGAAAAGTGCCCCGTGATGAGGTATCACAAGTATGCAAACAGTAAACAGCCACCCAACCTCACTAAATACAATCCACCTCAGAGCTGTGAAAGCCTTTAACTCCAATTAAAATTGTTTGTCCTTCACACCACACGGCCGTGTCACAATCGGCTACCAAAACGTGGTATAAGCTGGCGTGCGTTGTCCCAGCTAGGTAATCGTCAGCTTGATAACAAAATACCACAGAACATCATCCATTCCAATAACACAGAACATCATTATGGTTCCCGTTTCATACATCACCTTGCACTGGTTACCCGTCGTGCCAGCAACATGCCCCAGAGAGCTCCACGCCCCCCCCCCCCCCCCAGCAGCGCAATCGCACGTGCAGATATTTTAGCCGAGCCATGCTATCCAGCTCGTGGTCATTTCTAACCCACCAGCGCATCAGTCCCCCGCCACCCTACTCCCGGCTACCGTCAACGTTTTCTATACACCTAATAATTTGGAATGGTTTGCACAGGTAGATTTGGGTTCGAAATATGTCGTGGCGTAGCTTGCTGCGTGTGCCTTACACTCACTACCCAAGTCATACGGATCGAGCTCATTAAGTAATTAGCCTCCAGCCTTTTTACCAGACCGGACTGCGGAGGGTTTTGTGTGCTCAACGGTGCTAAAATCAGAGCGCCCGTGTCGGGCTGTCCCCCCTGGCTAGCTGACAACTAACTTCCCCGTTGAATGGACGCATATAACGCGCCCATTGCGTTATTGATAGCCAGTGCGACCCAGTAACGAGTCCAGCCTGGTTGCCCTTGACGACGGCAGCGGCCCGCACTCCGTGCTCCGAGACCAGCGCCACCGGCTCGCGGCCGTCGTCAGTCACCTTTTCCTGGAGAGCTGGTCCTGGTACTGAGCGCGCTGCTGGTGCTGCTTGGTCTCCTCGGCCAGCAGCTTGCGGCGCTCCTCGCCCTGCGCGCGCACCTGCTCCACTTTGGCCTGCTCGATGTGAGCCTCGTACTCCTTGATGCGCGACTGCTGCTCCAGCTGGCGTGTCTGCTCCTGCTGCTTGGTCACCGACAGGATCTCGCGCGCGTTTGCTGCCAGGAAACGTAGCTCGTTAGATGCATTAGCCATACAAAGAAACAAAAACGTGCAGTTGCAAATAAAAATGACAGTTTTCACAAACATATTCCTATTGTCAACAACGGTGCAGCAAAACTGATAGATATGCTTCGACAACAATGGGATATTTTTGTGCAAAATTACATCGCTTCCTTCAATAACTCTGCAAAGAAAACAACATTGGAAACCACATCGTGCACAGTAGCAAGGCTACCAGGCAAGCTGGAAGGAAACCTGACACGAGAGTCAACAGTAGTTAGCTAGCCACAGTTACGTGAAATACGGAAGCTCCGGGTCAATCCCCACGCGGGATATCCACATTTGAATTACACTTATAAGGTGGTAAAACATAAATCACATGTAACGACCGGTATGTTTGCTGGCAAAACGACGCAGAGGATGTTTCTCGATGTGTTGGCATGCGTGGTTTTAATTCCATTTGTGGGCCCAAAATCAACCTCATGTCCGAGGAAATAAGCTCATGGCTCATGACAACTAGGAAATAGTTTGCTCGAATTTCGTCTCGCGCTAACTGTCATTCAGTCGTCCGTCTGAAAGCCGTCGCGTTCTTTTGACTTCAACCAATACTGCCGCGTTGAAATGCAACTGGTCCTGGTCATGTTTCGTTGAAATGCAACTGGTCCTGGTCATGTTTCGTTAAAATGCAACTGGTCCTGGTCATGTTTTGTTGAAATGCAACTGGTCCTGGTCATGTTTCGTTGAAATGCAACTGGTCCTGGTCATGTTTCGTTGAAATGCAACTGGTCCTGGTCATGTTTCGTTGAAATGCAACTGGTCCTGGTCATGTTTTGTTGAAATGCAACTGGTCCTGGTCATGTTTTGTTGAAATGCAACTGGTCCTGGTCATGTTTTGTTGAAATGCAACTGGTCCTGGTCATGTTTTGTTGAAATGCAACTGGTCCTGGTCATGTTTTGTTGAAATGCAACTGGTCCTGGTCATGCTTCGTTCAGTTACCCAAAATGCTTACTTAGGCCCCAACCATGCCAGGCCCTTTACACGAGGAACGAAATCCAAAGACAAAATATCTTTGCGATGCCCAGTCGTCTGGGCCGCCTGTGGGTATATTCTGGTCTCAGCACTTGCGGGTTCCAGTTGACAACCTTCGGCCGTATCGGGGGAATTTACGATGAGAAAACCCTTCACAGATCATGGCGCGTCCCTTCGCAGCCCCAGTCAAAACCATGTCCACATGATGACTCCCCTCGCGGTGTCCGGGCTCTCCGAGAATTTTGAGGCACCTGGATGACTTCGCACCCCGAGCTATCTCGAGATATCGTGGCCACGTCAAAGACGTGGACCGGATCCTCCGAATGGGCCTTCAGATACCGTAAGTCGTTGGGTTCTCTAAAAGGGTGAACGTTCTATACAGTTATTCACGTCCGTTTTCTGCGACCCATAAAAATGATCGTCTCGAGCCACCTTTTGATGCGTTACGGTCTCTTACAGCAATACGACGGCCTCCTCTTTACTACCCACGCCGGGCCCTGAGAGCACCTTCAGACATATCATACAGAAGACCGTCCGCCTGTCGTTTCCGGGTTGAAAACAGTAGCGTCGTGGTTTTGAGGTCACCATTTCCAGACACTACCGTGAGCTACGATAACGGTAAAAAGTGCTGAGGAGAGGGGCTGCTTAAGCTATAACACGGGGGAAAAAGGCATGCAAACGGGAAAACAGCATATTTAACCATGGAACAATATATTTTCCCATTTCCCTCTTCATTTGGGAAGCACCGTGATGCAAAAGATATTTTTCCAAGGTGAGGAGGGGCTGGCTCCCCGGTTGCATGCTCTGCGACGACACTCACGGTTCAATTTCCCTGAGCCCCTTTCATAGTTTGAGTCCATAATCCCTTCGGACCCTGGCTGCGCCACCGTCCCCTGCATTTTCCGCATTTGTTCACTTTGCTCCATGCCCTGTGTACAAACCCAAGAGGGGGAGCGGGGGGGGGGGGGGGGGGAGGCAGCGTAGAGTTACGCTCATAACGATGATGACTGGGGTTTTAGGGCGCGCCAATTTCTGATGTCATTTTGCGCCATTCTCATTACACCCAGGTGCGATTGCTCATCATGCTCAAGTGTTTTCAAGTGTTAAAACATTTAAGCCGAATACTGGAAAGTTGAAAAGATACCGGATGCCGGATACTGAAAGCCGGCTTCCTCTCATTAAAAGGAACATGCCCCTCGTTCTTTTGCACCTTCGGCTCAATTAGACGCCAAACAGCGGACACGTCTTTGGAACGGCACGCTAGCATATAGTCATCCGGGGGTAACCGGTGTAACCAGTGCGTAACCAGCGAGACGAGGATTGAAAAAGGTTTCCAGACAAAACAAGTCGAATGGAAAAGATCGAACGAAAACAAGCTGAGCAACAAAAAGCCGAGAAATATAAAAGTCGACGGTCGACCGGTCTAATGGAACGCTGTCCACGGACAAAAAGTCGGAGGCGATACACGTCGACAAGAATCAAAGTCAAATCGGGGAAAAGTCTAAACGAAAGGGATAAAAAGTCAATAGGGATACAAATCCACAGAGATAAAAGTCGGGCCTGAACAAAGTCGATGGACCACAACCGAACATGATACAAGTTGACGGGGATAACATTGGAAAAGGAAAAGTCCAAACGAAAAGTTCACAGGGATAACAGTAGAAAAGGCATATGTCGAAAGATATAGCATCGAAATGATAAAGGCGAACTGGGAGGCAAATCATCAGGATTTGAAATTTGTTGTAAAATGCAGATTACGCTGTGGCTACGGGCATAGAGATGAGACTGGATGGGAGGCGAGGGGAGCACATGGGACCAGATCACAACAAGAGGCACGGGCCAGAAGAGTTCGGATGAGACTGGATCGGACGGCACCTGACGGCACCAGACGGGACCAGATCACAACAAGAGGCCCGGGCCAGAAGAGTTCGGCTGAGGCCGGATCGGACGGCACCTGACGGCACCAGACGGGACCAGATCACAACAAGAGGCCCGGGCCAGAAGAGTTCGGATGAGACTGGATCGGACGGCACCTGACGGCACCACACGGGACCAGATCACAACAAGAGGCCCGGGCCAGAAGAGTTCGGATGAGGCTGGATCGCACGGCACCTGACGGCACCACACGGGACCAGATCACAACAAGAGGCCCGGGCCAGAAGAGTTCGGATGAGACTGGATCGGACGGCACCTGACGGCACCACACGGGACCAGATCACAATAGGCCCGGGCCAGAAGAGTTCGGATGAGGCTGGATCGGACGGCACCTGACGGCACCACACGGGACCGCGCGTGACCGGACGCGATCAGGCAGCATCGCACGTCACCGGGCGTGATCGAAACGTACCAGAGGAGACAGAATGGGACCAACGGGACCAGACGGAACCATACAAGAGCAGATGGAACCGGACGAAACAGGACGAGATCAGACGGGACTGGACGGAGCATGATGCCATTGAATGGGGTGGGACGGGACCACACAAATATTAAGGCAACCTTCGGAGAGCGCTGCTCCCTAAGGCACTGAATACGACGCCAAAATAACGGTCTCAACAGCTTCGCAGCATCACCTGGCTCTCGTCGGCTGCGCGATGGTGCGGGACTCTTGTATCCCCGGCGCTTTACGTCGGGGGGAGGGAGGAGAGCGGGGTACGCAGGGCGGCCGCAGGACAACATACTGCATCTGTTGGGCGACTGTGTCCATTGTGTGGGCCCGTTCCAGACACAAAACTATGATGCTTGATGCCTGTGAGGAAGGCCATCAGCTTCTGGTTATTCTGCCCGGGGCGTAGTTTCGCAAAATGACTGGGGGGGGGGGGGGGAGGAGAACGGAACAGGGGACAATGACGCAACCTTCTTTCAGAACGCCGACAAATGGGTTTCTCCCGGATTCAACCGTTCTTTAAAAAAAAAAAATTGGGGTAGGGGACAACAGCCCCGCCCAAATGAATATGAAACCACAGCGGTGTTCGGCATTATGAGTTCGGATTCCTAAGCCGAGTTATCGGCCTTTAATATGCCAGGAGGCACGGTTAAACGACGTGATAGAACACACGCTGATTATGCTGTCCGCGCTCGGCGTTTCGGGCCGTGCTTATGATAATAAGTGTCATAATGTACAGTAAGTAGTACCTCATGGACTTTCTGCCGGCTTTTGCCTATTCGGACTTTCCGTCTTTTGACTTTTCTATTTTTGCTTTTCCCTATCGACTCTAATTCCTCTAAACTTTTATTTCTGAGGCTTTTCAACTGTTTAAGCTGTAAATGTTTGATTGGACTTCAATCCCCGTCAACTTTTTGTTGTTCGTCCTTATCAAATACAACTTTTATTCCTGCTAACTTCGTGCCCTTCGGCTTTTATCCTAGTCGGCTCTTATTCCTGTCACCTTTTTCCATTCGAATTTTTGTCACCGCTGAAGTTCGATCAGTTCGATCTATCATCAGCACGTTTGTCGGCACCAATCACGACCCAGTATTATTTCTAAGTCACATCACAGGACCACGAATTCACGTAGTTTGTGACTTCACGCGCCGGCTGGCGTTGCTGCCAGATTTTTTTGGCTGCCCGTCCGTATGAAGAGAAAGCGCTGCAAGATTAAATAAGTCGATTTGACAAAGGCCCCATCCGATCTGTCGTCGACACGATTGTCAGCTGGAATGCGTGCCGTATTACGTGCTAACGGTGCTTTCGACGTGTGGGCTGACGGGAAAGTCTTTTATCTCTGCTTCACCTTCTTTCTTTACCTTTTACTTGACCACACACTAACTCTGGCGCACCGACACACTACGTATGAAGTGGCGTTTGGCAGTGTGGTTTCTGCTTCGTTATTGCCACCATCTATCCCATCCGTGCGTTGAGTGCTTCTTCCCATTTACAATTCATTTCAGTTTCTTCCCTCGCATTTCAAGTGTTTCTTACAACACTTCATTTGTTGGGCAACGCAACCACACACAACACCAATCACCGTCATTTACCTTTTCATGGTTATTTTTGGCATTTCAATTCCTCCTATCTATCTCGCATCGCATTTTCCCCAAAATCAGAGCCAAGCGCCCCCATCCCATCAACGTACTCGCCAACGCAAAAGCTATCAAATCAAACTCCCGCCTCAATCAGAGTGATTTTTTAATTTGGTAATGCCTTCTCTCCATGCTGACAAAAATCCTGGCATCATCGTAAGCCGGCGCGTGACATCAAAGGCGACGTGCATTTTGGTCACCTGACGTGACGTAGGGCGAATACTGGGCCGTCACTCATGCTGACAAATGTGCTGACGACATATCGAAGGCGGCCAAAGAGGCGCGAGTTTGATGCGGTAGCTCTCGCGTTTGCGAGTACGTTGGGTGGGTTGGGGCACTTGTCTCTAATTGGGGGGAATGCTATGTAGAAAAGATAAGAGGGAAGTTGGACTGCCAAAAGTAGCCATGAAAAAGTGGGTAAAAGCGATTGGTGTGGTGTGTGGTTACGTTCCCCAGTAAATTACAAGCGTTAGAGTAATTGAAAAAGATGGAGAACGGAAACGAAGCATCCCGCGTCTCGAACACGGGCTTTATCGACACAGCTGGGAGGTCAATGAAAGAATGGGGCAGTACAAGTAGCAGCCGAAAGATCAAAAGACCTTTTCACAAAAATTGAGTGAAGGCTAAAATTGAGAGGGAAGAAATTTCAATGAGGTGGGAATGGATGATGGCGATCTGGGGCTTTGGGGCACATCGACAGCTGGAGGCCATGCAGTGTCGTGGTGGGAATGGGGGGAAACACTCAGCTTAATAGTGGAATAGATGATGGTGATACCGAAGCAGGAGCCACACTTCCAAAGACCATTTACAGGTGTGTCATGGTCGGCGGTAAGCCAGTTGGTGTGAGGTCTGAAGCAGTTAATAGGTAAATGAAAAAGGAAGGCAAAGTTGAAAACTTTCCCAACGACCCTCACACCAAACGCTCCGTCAGCATGCATGACGTCACACATTCCACGTGACAATCGTGCTGGCGACAGATCGAACAGGGCCGAAATACCAAAAAACCAAATAGTTTGTGGACGCCACCCAAAATATTCCTAATATGGCAGCTATGCGGCCAGATTTACTATCCCTGGCTTGCGCCACTTCTCGCCGTAATGCGGTATGATGCGGCAGCAATGCACACCTACGTATATTCCAGTCAGTAGTGACTCATCCTGCTAATAGGCCCCGCTGCCTGGCAGACAAGGGAGGGACGGAATTGTGTTTATTTCTCGAGGTTCAGTGATCATACCTGACGGCCTGTCCTTGACCCCCATGTAACAAGGGAGGTGTGAAATCTAAGCGTGTTCGTATCTTGAGGCTAACAAGCCATTTGATACTCTGCATCTTAAAAGGCTGCCTTTTTCAAATAAGCCAAGATGTCCATAGCATCCATGGAGAAGCATTTGTTCAACCTCAAGTTTGCTGCCAAGGAAATGGTACGCAATTCTAAGAAGTGTGAAAAAGAGGAAAAGGCTGAGAAGGTAAAGCTGAAGAAAGCCATACAAAAGGGTAACATGGAAGGTGCAAGAATTCATGCTGAAAATGCAATTCGGCAGAAAAATCAGGCCTTGAACTATCTCAAGATGTCTGCTCGTGTTGATGCAGTGTCTAGTCGTGTTCAAACTGCTGTTCAAACCAGGAAAGTAACACAGTCATTGGGAGGTGTGGTGAAGTCCATGGATGCTGCCATGAGGTCCATGAACCTTGAGAAAATTTCTGCCCTCATGGATAAGTTTGAGCACCAGTTTGAGGACCTGGATGTGCAAAGTAGTTACATGGATTCAGCAATGGGCCAAACAGTTGCAACCAACATTCCTCAAAATGATGTGGACAGCCTTATGAGCCAGGTAGCAGATGAGGCAGGACTGGAGCTGAACATGGAGCTGCCACAAGGACAGCAAGGTTCTGTTGGAATCTCTACAGCTGCTTCAGCAGATCAGGATGAACTCACACAGAGGCTGGCACGTCTCCGGAACTAAAAGAAGATGAACATCTTTAACTTTTGTAACTGCATATTAGACTTGGGCTTCATTTCAGTGTGCCTGAATGTTATCAGGCACCATCAGCACTGCACTGTCAGGCAGAAGCAGCAGTGCATTTTCAAGACTGAGATTGACAGTGCACACATGCCTTTGTCATAAGCATTTTGCCCCAAACTAGCATGTATGCAGATAAACCTTCCATCAAGCAGGGATTTTAGTTTCTACACCAGTAAAAAATTCTAGACAATTATCCCTAGAGAAACACACTGTGGTCTTCCTGAACTGAACTCAGTGTGCTAGAGTGTGAGGTACACAACCTGCTCGTGATGAGATTGTGGGAATGTCTGAGCTTGATGCTGAATTATTATTGCTGAAATGTGGAATAGGCTTTATTCATATGGAAGTGCCCAGCAAGCCAAGCTCTTGGATCCAGACACATGTCACAGATTATCACAGGATGCTTGAATCTTTGCAAGTTCATGCTAGTTCTACGCCAGATAACTGAAGCTGATCTGAAAGGCAAGATCAATAAGCTCTTTAGATTAGTTCCATCCTCACTGAAGAAGTGAAACCTTTGCTGTAGAAGCCTGCAGTTGCTGAACTCCAAATGTCTTGGTGTGTTTAGCGTGGCCTCGCTGGTAATGAGACTTGTAAACGGTTCCGTGATGTGGTAAATATACGTGATATTCTCAAGCTGATCTATTGCAAATGGTAAGCGGAATGGCAACTGCCAAACAAATCCTGTCGAGTTGCACGGAAGGGACAACAAAGGGACAATACGATGTGATCAAAGCAACAGCAAGTAGTGAACAAACCATTTTCGAGCGAAGCGAAGTCATATGACGTGTTATGCCGATGCTCGTACCAGATTATGCTCCACAAACCAACAGTGGAACCGAAATGGGTGAGTGAAATGCACTTGGAAACTTAAGCATGAAGAGAGGGGGATGGGGGGGGGGGGGGTGCAAGCTATTGGCTCCTGGGCATTTGCGGTGTTGGTGTTTGCGGACTCGGGCTACGCCAGAGACGACCTCACTGTGTTGACAAGTCACCTTCCCGAATCAACGGTCCTGTACGCTGCGAGCACCAGGTCGTCCCCTCTCTTCAGCACTAGTTTGCCCCTCCTGGCGTCAAATCCCTGCAGCACTCCTGCCTTTGCCCCTTCACATCGACTGGCTGGAACCAGCTGCGTGCGAATCCTTCTTTTGAAAGAACCTTGGGCCATACGGGACAGTATTTAGAGCGAAATGTGTCCCAACATCTTACGCAGTACTCATCCTGTGTAGCACAGTATTATTGAGGCCCATGTAACGGAAGCTCAAGGATTGGACACATCGATTTGTTTAGGGCTGGCCCGTGAATTGGACCGGGTCGAACACGCTGCAATCGATACGGTTTGAGATTGGATTTAACTCCAAAATTGATTTGCACAAATCTAGAGGAAAGGCTGATATGGAATGTAGCTGATTACAATGGGCGGTTTGGCCCTCGACAAACCTTCCATACTACATGCACAACCCACAGGAACACACTGAACGACCCAACTATATATTTAATAAGTTCGTAGTGCAACTTCGCAATGTTGAATTTGCCTTTTTTAAACCTGGCTGCAATACCATCGACCGGTGTGAAGTGAATTGATTCAGAACTTGGCAACGTGCAATTGGTCCAAATTTTGTGTGCTCGATTAGAATGAAATCGTAAAATCCGCGAATAACTCCAATTGCACACTTGCGTAACACACACCTACGCCACAACGTGAGCGTGGACAACCAAGCAGTCAAAGCAGAATCAGGGGCAGAAACCACACATAAACTGATAGCCTCTCTGTGCGGCTATCCTAAAACATGAGCAGGAAACTTGCGTCTGACAGCTGTAGCGCCCATTCTTAGGGAAAAGATGCCGTGCAATAACTATTCACTGTCCCAGTTGTTGCAACCATTTTGACTACGAGAAGGGACACCAGATCTAAACAAAACAATCGTTGCCGGGTTTGCCTCCGATACAAGTTTTGCCAAGTTACAAGTATACAAGTACACAAGTAGAAGATATACAAGTATAGACAAAATATACAAGAATATACAAGATATACAAGATATACAAGAGTATAGAAGATATACAAGATATACAAGAATATAGAAGATAAATAAAATATACAAATATAGAAGTACAAACATACAAGTATACAAGTACATTAATAATCCCAGACTATACTGAACAGAAAGGTCCGCACCCATCCAAGAGTTATCACTGGCCATCAACACAAGTTAAGTTATTCGGACGGGCAGGATGGGCCAGGACCAAGCAATAATTTCTGGAGAGCGAAGTACCGATGCACATTACCATGTATGACATCATACCTGGCCAGGCCAACCTGCATACCGCCATGCCCAGCCGGTGAGGTGGCCACAGCCTTAACCATTTCATACAACACTTTTATCTTGGGCATGGTGCAGGGTGTTGTAAAGGTGGCAAAGCGCACAGTGTTTGGCCTTCCGACAGTCAGCGAGTAGAAAAGCAAAGCTTACGACGGAGGGTAGTTCGAGCTTTGCAACACATCGGCAATCAAAAGAAACACGCCGTCCCATTTCGTCATCAATGAACGACGTTTTGGACGGGCAAAGCTGTAAAAGTTCTTCAACAAGGAATGGAGGTGACTAGTTTTTCCATTGCCTGACACATTCTCAGTGTCATTCATCGTTTTGCGAACGTCATTTAATGGTTGCTACCGAATCAACAAAGGACCTGGATACTTGCCATCCCGCAGCCGTACTTCCCACTCCCATGCATACATTTAACCTCATCCATGGGTGCCGATTTGTGTTCTTTTGTGAGAGCCCTAGTTCCTTCCCCCGAATACTGAATTACCCCCATGTTGGCTTGAGTCACCAGCATTTTTGGCTTGAGCATTCCGGAAGCGAAGGGAAAAGTTGGCCGTCACAAAAAGACCTTCGCCTGTGACCCTCCTTCGTAGTGGCGTCGCCATGGAAGGCGCAGCGGGGCAACTTTACCCCGCAACCTGAACATTATTTCCTCGAATGGCAGAGGGATTTAAGACATGGCGTAAACCATTTTAAATTTGCCCGTTTTTGTTTTGTCTGTCAAACGCAAGCCCGAACTGTTTTTCTGCCCCCTACCCAAACATGATTTACGCCACTGGCCTCTTTGTCTCGTGGACTCTTCTGTGCCAAGCGACATTTGGTCCCCTAGCCATGCTAGACTACGAACCTAAAGTTGTTTTACTTGGAGCTGGGACCCGAGTTGCTTCGTCATAGTTCCTCATAGATCACGCCTTAGATCTTCTTTGGCAGTCTCATGACAAAACAAAAACGGGTAATCAATCTTTTGCGCGGCATCATTACTTCTGATTATAGGTCCAGTTCACTTACAAAATGAGAAGCAATAAGGAAATAAAAACCTTGCTGAGGTGTATCATTAATCTGATTCTAAGTAGGGGATAATCCACTGCTAGTACTCCGAACCCTCCATCCTATTATTCTAGTGCACGTTCGACGAATCTATTTTGCCTCGGTACCTTATCCAAAAAGCACGAAAGAACTTACCGTGCCATGCCACTACACAACTGTCGACTGCCTTGTGACCAGGCTGACGCTGTCAGGCCACAGGCCCAATGTCCCTCCTTGACGAGCCACAGACAAACATTTGTTCTTGAAAGTGAAAATACTATCATATATTTCGCCACATGTCGAAGGTGGTCAGAATAACTTTAGCGCTCGACTGAGGATGGGCTTCCACCACGATTGGTGTGTGCGCGGTAATATACGTTCTTTCTGCGAGCATTTTGAGCATTACAGCCAACTGGTTGGAGAAAGGTCATGTCTGATAACTGCCACTTTACTAACAATCTTTGTCAATATATATATATATATATATATATATATATATACCTATATATCGTAATGTTCTGAAGGGAAGCTGCTGCCACCGATCAGGTTGTCCACGTGGCGGCGCTAGTGCTGCCCCCCGCCTGATTTGAGGCAATACAATTCTAAGCCCGGATCCGCCGTGTATGGACGCTCCGCCGAGCCGTGTACCAACAGAGCACGGGCCGAGAACATAACATGGCGCGGTCGGTCTGTGACTTGTGTACTGTAACGTGTCGGTCTGTAACGTGTGGACAACGGTGATCGGCGTTGGTAAACGTCAGTGAGTGGACAGATACGACGTGCTTGTGATAATGATTGTGCTGTTACGGCATCCGGCGACAGGATGAGCAGCGTCTCCAGCAACGGGGGCGGGAGCGGAAGCCGTCGGAAGTGCAGCTCCTGATCGACCTGTTCAACCGTCAGATGGAGGCATCGTAGCAGCGGGAGGAGCGCCTCATCCAGCTTCTGGAGCGGATGGGCCCATCGTCAGCGCAGCATTCAACAGGCGGCGACGGCGCGACTGGTGGCGATGGCGGCGTGCCTGCTCAGCGTGCGCCTCTGCTGCCCGCCTCGGGGCAGGATCTGCCCAGCCCGACAGGGTCATCAGAGAGGTGACGGCGACCCGACGCTGCGTGCGCCGCTGCCACCCAGCTTAGCGGGTTCCCCGAGAGGTCACGGCGGGCCGATCACTCCGGGGCAGGATCCGCTCACCCCGGCCGACCACCCGAGTGACGAGGGCAGGCGTGACCCACCCCGGCCCGGCGCTGCGTGCGCCTCTGCCGCCCGGCCCGGCCGGTCAGCCGAGCGGTGACAGCGGCGCAGCCGGTCCGGGCCCGGTGCTGCGAGGACCCCAGCCGCCCGCCCCAGGGCACGTGCGGTGCGCGCCGGCCGGCTACGACCCGGTGGGCGGTGACCGGGACGACCGTGAGCCCGGCCGGGCGAGGTCACGGTCGCGGCTCCCAGCAGCGGCGACACCGGCCCCGCGGCTGATTGCGTCTGCTTCGTTGAAGGAGTTTGAGGCGCGGAAAAACAAGTTTGACGGCTACCGTCTACTCGTGGGCCTGGACGACCTACCCCAAGCGGAGCAGAGGGCTGCTTTGCTCGCGCTGCTGGATGACGACTGGGTCAGGGTTGTCAGATTCGGGCTGCCTCAGTCGACGGGCGCGACGATCGGCGAGATCGTCCTGGACATGCAGCATCATCTACGTCGCCCGCGCAACATCATCATCGATCGTCGTGACTTCAACACGCGCGTGCAGCAGCAGGGCGAGACATTCGACGAGTTTCTCTGCGCGCTGAGAGAGACGGCGTCGTTCTGCGACTTCTGCACGTTCTGCATCGATGACCGGCTCCGAGGCCGGCTGGTGGTCGGCGTCCGAGATGAAGACGCCAGGCGCCGGATGCTGGAGATGCCGGAGCTGACGCTGCAGTCAGCAGCCGACATCTGCCGTGCGTCTGAGAACGCCAGCAGCAGCACGTCAGCCATCCGGCAGCCGGTGACTTCATCGCTGGCCAGGCTATCTCGATACCAGCGATATAAGCGATCGTCGTCAGCGGTGAAGTCTGGAGAGAAGTGCGCCCGCTGCGGCACAGCGGCTCACCGGGATGAGTAGAGGTGTCCGGCGGTTGGGCGCCCATGCTTTCACGGCCAGGAGCAGGGACACTTCGAGGCTGTTTGCCGGCGCCAGCATGCTGAACCACAGAGGCGCGGCAGGAGCAACAGTCGGCGCCGTCAGGACGGCCGAAGCGGTTCACGCGCCCAGTCGTCCGTCCAGGTTGTGCAGCAGGTGACGGCAGCGCCGGCCCAGGGCGTCGGACGGGTTCCCGACGTCCGTGTACGAGGCGTCTCGGCGCGCTGTTCGCCACGGGTCGAGCTGCAGCTTCATCGACCGGACGGAGGCGGAACGGCCACGACCTACTGGACGCCCGACACCGGAGCGGAGGCGTCGGTTGTGTTGCTGCGGTATGCCGAGAAGGTTCGGCATCAGGCGGAGCAATCTGACGCCACCGACAACCAGGCCGCTCAGCGCGGACAGCAGGGAGATGCGGTGTTTCGGTACCTGCAGCCTCACACTTCAGCTCGGGCGAGTTCAACACACCGTGGAGGCGGCGGTCGTGAAGATGCTGAATGGCCCGTTGCTCTCGTGGCACGACAGCATCAAGCTCGGCATTCTTCCCGAGAACTACCCTCAGCAGATAAAGGTGATGACGATGACTGCAGCCACTGGAGATGACGAGACCACCGGAAAGGAGATCTCCTGCCAGCTCTCCAGCACGGTGATCCATGCTGTGACCAGCACCGACGGAGATGGGACAGCTGCATCACCGTTCGAGGTCACGGCGCTGTTGGCGGTGCAAGCGGCTTCAGAGCGCGATCCTGAGATTTTGGCCCTCAAAGAAGCCGTACTGTCTGGTTTCCCCGACCCCAAGTCCGAAGCAGACCCGCAAATTCGACTATACTGGAACATGCGAGATCGACTGGCGGTAGATGGTGACCTGGTCATCTGCGGACAGCGGATCGTCGTCCCCAGCAGCCTGCGACGGGACGTTCTGCAGAAGCTGCATGCCAGCCATCAGGGAGAAGAAAGAACAAAAAGAAGAGCGAGACAGGTGGTCTTCTGGCCAGGTATCGACCACGACATCTCCAACGTAGTGAAGGCCTGTCAAGAGTGTCGGCTTCATCTCCCGAAGCAACAGAAAGAGCCGATCATCCAGATGTGTCTGCCAACAAGAGTCTTCGAAGTCGTCTCGGTGGATTTCTTTGAATATGGTGGTTGTACGTACCTGGTGTACGCCGACAGGCTGTCGGGATGGCCCTGGGTCTCTCACATGGGCCGGACAGCATCAGCACATCAGCTGACAACCAGTCTCCGGCAGGCATTCCCGTCGACTGGAGTGCCCAGTGTGCTCCTGAGCGACGGAGGACCCCAGTTCGCGGCCAAGAAGACCAGAGACTTCCTGGCCAAGTGGGGTGTCAAGCACCAGCTGTCCTCGCCGCATTACCCTCAGGCGAATGGGCACGCGGAAGTAGCAGTGAAAGCCGTCAAGAGGCTCCTCAAGAAGGTGCCTGCCAGCGGTGACCTCGATACGGACGCATTCGCGGAGGGCTGCTGGAACTTCGAAACTCTCCGAGAGCGGACGGACGATCGCCAGCTCAAGTGCTCCTCGGCCATCCGCTGAGGTCGATGGTCCCAGCTCACCACAGCTCCTTCGCCAAGTGCTGGCAAGAGCGTGCTGATGTGTGCAACCGGCGCGCAGCGGAACGGCGTCGCAGAGAGGCTGACTTCTACGACGCTTCAGCACGTTCACATCGGCCTTTGCAGCTGGGTCAACACGTGCTGCTCCAAGACCCCCGCACCGGCCTCTGGGACAGCACCGGTGTCATCAGCGCAGTCAGCCAGCAGCGCCGCAGCTTCCTGATCCGCGCACCATCTGGACGCGTATGCTGGCGGAACAGGCGCTTCCTGCGTCCGTTACGCCCGCTGATCCCGGAGGGCATCAAATCGCCAGCGGCTACACCAGCGTGTGAACCAACGAGTTCTGCCGCTGTGGCAGTGACGCACCCGACGTCTGATGCGCCAGCGTCCCTGGATGTGGAGCGGGCGCCGCCTGAAGCTGCAACAGAGCAGCCTGGAGCGCCGCAGACGTCACCTGAAACAGCTCGGACGTCATCTGAAGCGGCCCTATCGCTGCCTGAAACTACAGCATCATCACCTGGAGCGGAGCAGACGTTACCTGTAGCTGTGCAGGCGTCACCAGAACCTGCGGCGAACAGCGAAGCTCGCTCACACTCGGCACGCCCATCACAGCAGACCACAACCGCACCGTTGCGCCGAGGAGAGCGCAACAGGCGGAGGCCAGAGAGCCTGCAAGTGCGGTGGGGTACATGTACGTACCAAGAGTGATCGTTGTACTGTAGGTGATGTTATTGGATGCATTATTTTCCGGCCCCGGGGAGGAAAGATGTGATGCAATTGCGCGTGTCGTTTTCTTTTGTGAAGTGCGTTGTTTTGTTTTGCGTTTTTTGGCAGCAATGCATCCTGTAATCCCAGAGGGGAGGTGAAATGTTCTGAAGGGAAAGCTGCTGCCACCGGTCAGGTTGTCCACGTGGCGGCGCTAGTGCCGCCCCCCGCCTGATTTGAGGCAATACAGTTCTAAGCCCGGATCCGCCGTGTATGGACGCCCCGCCGAACCGGTGTACCGACAGAGCACGGACCGAGAACATATATATATATATATATATATATATATATATATATATATATATATATGACCTAGTAAACAGTCAAGCATAGCCAAACTCGGCTACATATATGACATCATTAATCGGAACAGTGGTATTTATACTCCTCGATACGTCAGTGTTTGATTACATTATTGTACCTTGCACAACATTGATTGGAAGCCAATTGACGGCCTTTTTCCTGCACATCGTGCTCACGAACATCCGACATGGACAAACCAACTATTATATTTTCTTGGTATTGATCGCCGCATAGCTCACTGAATGACAGAATGTGAATGACCTTGATATGAAAATGATAAGGTGTCGATTGAAATACTCTTCCCGAACAAGTCTCCCCATTCTCGCGGGCGTGTACCTCAGGCACTAGAGGAATTTAGATCTTAGGAGGGACATGGCTGTGAACTGCACCGAAGGATCTTTAATATCGCTATTTCAGTTGAAAACCCCATGGAAAGGTGGGACATCACGTTTAAATAAAGAGGCAACGTTTTACGCGGGACGCTGTATCCCATATCCAAGGACAAAAAACAAACTTTAGTTAGGTTGTGTACTTTAGCCGAATGGCTTGGCCCGCAAACTCCTAAACTGAATTCGTGAAGGTAGCCGAATGTTAGCTGTTTTGCAGACAAAGAACACAGAACAGTGCACCTAACTAGTACACCCCTCCCCTCGTAATAAGAAGCCGTGTTTGCTCTCAACGCGAGATAAAATCGTACCTGCTAAGCGGATAGCCAATCCAATAAACACACCAAGGACCATAAGATGTGCAAAGGTTTGGACGTTAAACTGAAAAACTGCGGGGTACGGGAAGTGGTTAAGTCAAAAGCCTGTCTTCGTCTCCATGCCTGGTGCCTGGTGGCAACCAATGAATTAGAAATGGTTTGCCGTCTTCGGTTATCGTGACTGTTGTGAAATCAAATATTTTGAGTCAGCATCGGCCCTAACTAGTTACACCACAAATGTGTGTGGTTTGAAAAACCGATCTCTCGGTGTAAGCCACCGCGTATCTGCGGCTTCTAGAAGCGTGGCCGTTCGCCAATTGGCATCAAAGGCCAAACTACTCATATTCTTTATAATTTTTCCGAAATCTACTCGTCTTCTCCGGCTCCCTGAGCCGTACTCACAGGACTTCTCGAGGTCTTTCGCGGCCTGCGCGGCGCGTTCCAGCGCTGACGAGTCGAAGCGATACGCCTCCATGGGGGCGGACGTGGGCCGACTACCCGCCGCGGCCGTCCTGCCGCCACCCTCGCCGCCGGCGCCCGGCGCGCCGTCCGACGGCTCCTGCGGCAGCAGCGGCGGATCCGGCTTCTTGTTCATACCAAACAGCCAAGACATGGTGGTAACTGCTGAGGGGCTTCAGCCAGTTGGACCACGAACCTGAAACAAGGCACATGTTGGACGGTTTCATTTGCTTGGAGCCTCCTCTGTAAAAAAACAAAACATATAAGATTGTTACAAGCACTGCTCCATAAAGCATGTAGCGTTCAAAACCCAGTTTTAAGCACCTGATTGATGATATGGGTTTATGGACTCTGCAGTTACATGGTTGTATAGCATTCACTGCAAGGCCACAGTTTTGGTGTGATGGTCTGAGAGTGATTGGAACAAAATGAAAGCAAAAATGAGGGTACACTTGAGAAACAAGTAGGACTGCATTACCAGATTTATGAACACAGGAAAACAGTGGGAATGCAGATTTAGTTATAAAATGAGAATGGACCCAAACTACTGAACTGAATCAGATAAACACAAAAAACCCATGGCAAATCACCCACCGCACTACACCATTTTCAACATATACACAGGCCAGGTCTAAGTGACAATCAACCCACCCTTCACAAAGCATTTCTTAATGTTCACATATCCAATTTTGTATCAACTAGAATTCTGGCTTTAGAAGCATAACACTACTGGTACTCAGGAATAAAAGTGGATGGGTACAGCTAGTTACTGTCTGCTGGTAATGATGGCCTCTAACAAACAACAGTGATGTTTAGTTTGGGGGGAGAGCGCAATTCCAGCTAGGTGTTGACGAGAAAGTGGACCAAAGCCCAGGAAACACTCTGTTTTGGCAGATTTTTTGGTAAGGTTAGCTACGCCTTCCTACACCAGCCCCATTCAACTTCTTTTGGTAACCTGCATCCCATTCTCAGGATGGAAAAACACTGAAAATTATTACAAATCTGACCTTGCAGTAAAACAATCTGGAAAAAACGAACAAGCTTTGACTTCCAGATACCAGTATGTGGGAGTGTCATGGGGGCTTTAAGATACACTCTGCTGCTGAAAATGCATGATGTCAGTTGCCTCTCAACCTGGCAGGGAGGGCGGACACTGCAGGGAATTGTGCCCATACCCCCGGTTTCCCAGACCTGCAGGAAAACCACTGTGCTACCAGCACCCCAGTGAGCCATCTGCATTTCTGTACTCAGCTGAGTGGTTAGTGCAAACTCACAATGACTGCATGATGTAATTGAAAGACAGGGCAACCTTTTAAAACATGTCTTGGTGCAAGTGTTTTCGTC